CGCTGCCTCGAAGCCTCGCTCAACCCACAAATGCCTCCACACCTCGACACTTTGCTCAGCCCTAACAAGGGGAGACCAACACGAAGATGGTGCAGAGAAGGAGCGGGGAAGGTAGAAGAAATGAGTGAAGGTAGAAGAATTAGGGATTGGGAGAAATTAGAGAATCAGGGAAAGGTAGAAGAAATGAAAGGCGCGGGGATACATAATCAGTCCTACTCATACTCATAATCAGTCCCCAAATTGAAAAAATGAAAGGCACCTTCATTAAAATTGAAGGAAATTAAAAAATTGAAAAAAATTAAAAAAGGGGGTAACTGCGGTTTAGTCAAAACCGCCGGAATTTATTCGGGGTTTCTAAAACCGCCGGAAACTAACCCCTCCTAAAATATATTATTTTTGTAGTGTTAAATAACCTCAAATAGTTGAATATAACACAATCTCCTATTATTTATGGTTAAAAACATATAAACATTCAAATACAAATTCATTTCCCTTCAAAAATTACATTATAAAATATTCAAACAGTAATACATTTTTTTTCAAATTATTAATTAATTGTTAATGTTAATCACAAACTCTTCCTATAGTCGATATAGACGTCACTAGTTTTTTATGTTAAATAATTTGTTACTGAAAACGACTTAACTTCGTACGACTTTTATTCCAAAAAAATACCTATTAAAATGAATGCGTTTCTCATTTTCTGTACATAATAGACATGTACCATCAAAACTTGACATTAAAGAGAAACAACTGTTCAAAACGAGAAGAATGCACCACTAGTCAAACCAATGCAATAAATTCCAGCTAAACGCCGCCCAAGTTTGGAAAAAAAAATTAAACTATAATTGGTTCAATGGAATATCAAACATCATAAACTAAAGTTTGAATTCGACAAATGTGAGTCTTTAATGTTTAAATAGGCACTATGAAACACACGAGAAACAAAAAAACAAATCACAAAATCAATCATTAAATCACATTATTGAATTTTCTTCTAACGTAATATTAGCCAACGAATCATAGTTGTACAACGATGTTTTTGAAGAACAAGTGAACATGTTTTGTCATTTGACCCAGCAATATTGTATGTGATAACTTGGAATTTGCTCTAGATAACCCTTTTCTTTCATCAACTTCCTCTTCACTGACAAATAGTTTGATCACTCTGTTACCGTCCATTGACCGCCATGGATGTGCAAACTTTCCATTGACCACGACATCTCCAGTCAACTCACCTTTTCACACATATTTCATCGTTTGTGCTTGTTGCATGCACTACCAATTAACACAAAAAATGGCATCTCATCCATTCATTCTTTCTATCACCATTTTCAAGCTAGTAATAATCTTCTTCTCTCAATCTTCCACAGCATCAGACACCATCACTCAATCTCAGCCACTTCATGATGATGGCAGTACCTTAGTTTCCAATGATGGAACCTTTGAGTTAGGGTTCTTCAGTCCCGGTAGTTCCACAAACCGCTACATAGGAATATGGTACAGAATCATCCCAGTCAAAACCATTGTCTGGGTTGCCAACCGTGACAGCCCAATCGAAGGCAACAACAACATGTTAACCATCACCAATGAAGGCAACATGGTGCTTCTTGACAACAACAATGAAACTGTCTGGTCAACAAACATCACATCACTCACAACTCAACCTCTGTTGAATCCCATGGTGCAGCTCTTAGACACTGCAAACTTGGTAGTTAAAGAAGGGAATAGCAGCAACAACAGCGACAATGAGAAAGAAGAAAGCTTTTTGTGGCAAAGCTTTGACTACCCTTGTGATACTCTCTTGCCAGGAATGAAGCTTGGATGGGACCTTAAAAGGGGTATTGATAGGAAGTTAAGGGCATGGAAAAGCTGGGATGATCCATCTTCAGGGAACTTAACTTGGGGTATGCTCCTTAGTAGTTACCCTGAATTGGTTCTGAAGAAAGGTTCGGTTGAGTATCAAAGAAGTGGACCTTGGAATGGAGCAGGGTTCAGTGGCCAACCTGTGCTGAGAATCACTCCAATTGTTGACACAAAATTTGTGAATGATTCAAATGAGCTTTACTACTCATACTCTCTCAGGAACAAGTCTGTGATCTCAATAACTTACTTGAACCAAACCCTTCTTCATCGCCATCGCATCACATGGATTCCTGAAAACAAAACTTGGAGGGTTTATGAGTCTGTTCCTAGAGATGATTGTGATCCTTATAACACATGTGGTCCAAATGGAAATTGCAAGGTTAACGAGACACCGATTTGCCAGTGTCTGGAATGGTTTGAACCAAAGTCTCCCCAGAATTGGAACTCGTTTGACTGGACACAAGGATGTGTACGCAGTGAACCTTGGAGTTGTGGGGTGAAAGATCAAGATGGTTTTCGAAGATTTGCTTCGATGAAAGTTCCTGATACGAGAAGTTCTTCGACTTATGGAAACATGTCACTTGAAGATTGTAGGATCGAATGCTTGAAAAATTGTTCTTGCATGGCTTATTCAAACTTGGACATAAGGGAAGGTGGCAGTGGTTGTGCCATTTGGTTTGGTGATCTCATTGATTTGAAATTGGTTCAAGCAAGCCGACAAGACATATACATTCGAATGGCTGTTTCAGGTAACTATGTTTCATGTTTTCTTGTTCGAAATATTAGAATTGATGTATCTGCTTCATCATCATACACATGAAATTTGAAAAATGCAGGTACAGATGAAGATACAAGAAAAAGGGTTTTAGTAATCACGATTCCAATTGTGTCGGTCACTATTTTGCTACTTGTTGTCTTCTTATGTATTTACATGAGAAAAAGAAAGCATAAAGGTAAGTTTCTTGCGTGTTTCATTAACCTAAACTACGTGCCACATGAACATAGATATGTAAAGTTGAATTTTTCATTTCAAATCATCATTTGACACCATGAAATTGAAGAGGGAAGTGTTTAAAGTTGTTTTCCTTTACAAAAGATATGTGCACAATTGATTTCACTTAATTATTGGTGAATGAATTATTTTAACTTATTAGAAAAAAAAAATTCTTAAGTTAAAATCTATTTTATTTTTCTTGTAATTTCTTTTATGAAAACTTATAAAAAATTAATAAAACTCTTAAGTCAAAAAAGCTTTGGATTTTTATTTTTGATGATTTTGTATCTATATGTATATGTAGGAAATGAACACGGCACAAAGAATATTGTATCAACCGAAGATGATGAAGAAAACCAAGATGTTGAGCTTCCTTTGTTTGATCTCGCTTTAATATCCGTTGCCACCAATGGTTTCTCAAAAGATAACAAGCTTGGAGAAGGTGGTTTTGGACCAGTATATAAGGTATGAAATGCTGGTTATTAAGACAAACCCTAATTCATTTATTAATCAACAAATTATATACTAACTATAAAAGTTTAGGGTACACTCCCTAATGGAAGAGATATTGCCATCAAAAGACTCTCAACGAGTTCATCTCACACTAGTGCAGAATTGATCTTTAACGTCACCCCATAGACGTCCGTCCACAAAAACTCCAACGTAAATAATTGACCGGTAGCATAAATGTAAATAATTGAGTGTGGAGACGTCCGTCCTGGAGGGGGACGGACGTCTATAATATAGTAGACGACAGACCCCTCTAACGGACGTTCAAAAGACTGACTGGTTGAACTACCCGGTCAGCCTCTTGAACGTCCGTCCTGGAGGGGGACGGACGTCTATATGTAGTAGACGT